ACAGCGGTGGCCAGCCCCACGGGGTGGGGAAGGGGCTCGTTCAGATCCAGGAGGCAGGTGGGGGACCTGGGAGGAAACAGGCCAGCTACCTCCCACCCAAGCTTGCTGTTTTGTCAGGACTTTCCCTCGTTCGCATCTATGATTTCTTTAAAAGGAAAAAGGTGGGAAGGTTATTTGCTATGTCAAATTAAAAAAAAAAAAAGCTTTTGAGCACAGAAATCACAATTTTCCTTTAATATACTGCAGCTGATTAAGGTGTCACAGTAGCTGATGGGTGAATCCTTAACTGTCATCAAAGTAAACTGTCTGATCACCTTTTAGTTCCATGACATTCAAGTGCCTAGCATTCCGTGGGGCAGAGAATTAAAATGACAGGCCAGCATGTGTGCTCTGTGGAGCCTCTTACAATGAAACATACCTCTGGGGCCAGCAGGTGGCATAATAGTTATGGCGCTGGACTCCCACATGGCAGATCACAGTTTGAATCCCAGACCTGGTTGCCTAAAAATCACACCAGGCTCATGTATGTGTGTGCCCAAAATCCCAGGAAAAGAATGGAGAAGGGATTGTGGCATGGCCACCCTCCCTGGCAGGTGATTCGTCACTTTCCCTTTCACTGTGTCTCTGTCTGCTTCTGGCGAGTGCACGAGCCCTGTGACAAAAATCTAAAAACAAAAACAAAAAAAAGGAAAAAAAAATACCTCAAATGTAAAAAAAAAAGTAGAGCCTAATCCCAAAAGAAGATAGGCTATACCTCAGTACAGGCTGTGCAATTTCAGAAAAACAAGGGGGGGGATGAACATAAAAAACATGAGCAGGCCAGAGAAGGTAGATCAAGAGTTCAAGTCCAGGGACCAGCAGGTGGTGCGGTGGTTAAGGCACTGGAATCCCACACAGAGAATTGTGATTTGAGTTTCAGACCTGGTGGCTTGAAAATCCCACTAGACATGCGTGTGTGTGTGCCAAGATCCTGAGAGAATCGAGGAGAAGGGGTCATGGTATGGGCATCCCCCTGGAGGTGATTTCTCACTTTCCCTCTCTCTGTCTCTCTCCAGCCAGAACAAGTGCCCCATGGCAAAAACCTAAGGAACAACAACAACAAAAAAGAGTTCAAGTCCAAATGTAATATATGTAGACAAGGAATTCTTGTCCACTCAAGAGGGCAATATAATGTAAAAAGAAAGTGAGAAATGGAAGGATAATAATAAAAAAAAATTGAACATTTCTGTGAGAAAGTAAGATACATTTCATTACTTAATATAATTATTCTGAGGTCAGTTTCCATATGCTTTAGTTATATAGTCCCTACCATTGAATAAGTAGCCCTGAATATAAGAAAAATAAACACAGAGTCGTCTTTTGGTACCTGTTGGGGACTGGCTCCAGCACCCCCTGCAGAGGCCAAGATGCAGGCATGCTAGAGTCCCTCACCTGAAATGGCACAGCGACCTGCACCTCATCCCATATACTAGAAAGCACCTCGACATTACTTATAATGCCTAATACAACAGAAATGCTACGTAAATAACTGCTATTCTGTGTTGTTTAGGGAATAAAGACAAAAAAAGTTCAGTATAGACATAACCAATTTCTTTTTCAACTATTTATGATCCATGGTTGGGTCCGTGGGTACGGAACTGGTGGACACAGAGGGCTGACTGTATTTTTTACATGCCTCAGGAAAAGGAAGACACGTGCAATGTTGTACGTAACAAACCGAATTACAGGGAATATGAAGCAGGAAAATAGCATGTGGTCAAGAGAAGAGGCTAAGGGGACAGCAGGCAGATGATCTCTGAAATGCTGCACGACAGGTTCTGCTCAGTTAGCTAGCAAAGACTTAGGGCAGGGCGCAGAGGGAGTCTACTGATCTCTCTGTCTCTCTCCAGCCAGAACAAGTGCCCCATGGCAAAAACCTAAGGAACAACAACAACAAAAAAGAGTTCAAGTCCAAATGTAATATATGTAGACAAGGAATTCTTGTCCACTCAAGAGGGCAATATAATGTAAAAAGAAAGTGAGAAATGGAAGGATAATAATAAAAAAAAATTGAACATTTCTGTGAGAAAGTAAGATACATTTCATTACTTAATATAATTATTCTGAGGTCAGTTTCCATATGCTTTAGTTATATAGTCCCTACCATTGAATAAGTAGCCCTGAATATAAGAAAAATAAACACAGAGTCGTCTTTTGGTACCTGTTGGGGACTGGCTCCAGCACCCCCTGCAGAGGCCAAGATGCAGGCATGCTAGAGTCCCTCACCTGAAATGGCACAGCGACCTGCACCTCATCCCATATACTAGAAAGCACCTCGACATTACTTATAATGCCTAATACAACAGAAATGCTACGTAAATAACTGCTATTCTGTGTTGTTTAGGGAATAAAGACAAAAAAAGTTCAGTATAGACATAACCAATTTCTTTTTCAACTATTTATGATCCATGGTTGGGTCCGTGGGTACGGAACTGGTGGACACAGAGGGCTGACTGTATTTTTTACATGCCTCAGGAAAAGGAAGACACGTGCAATGTTGTACGTAACAAACCGAATTACAGGGAATATGAAGCAGGAAAATAGCATGTGGTCAAGAGAAGAGGCTAAGGGGACAGCAGGCAGATGATCTCTGAAATGCTGCACGACAGGTTCTGCTCAGTTAGCTAGCAAAGACTTAGGGCAGGGCGCAGAGGGAGTCTACTGACAGGAATCTCCACCAAGGAATGAGCTCGGTTCAAAGAAGAATGAGGAGGAAATAACTGTGATTCTGAAACAGCAGCAAAAGAAATGAATTTTATTTATATGAGAAAAGAGAAAGTTAACTAATTAACAGTAAATAGAACAAAAGGACCCAAGAAGTTATGGAAAGACAATACAATTCATTGCGCTGCATTCTTTAGAAAAGAAACTGGGTTACTTGGGTGGCAGAGAAACCATTTTGAATATGCAAATGTAATGAGCATATAACTTCCATTACCGAAAGCTTAAATGTGGCCCTGCGTGTGAAACCCTGTGTTACATATCTGGCTGGCCGCAGTGTTACTGGGGACGATGGCCAGGGCCACATACCTGTAACCCACAGAGGCATTTAATAGCCTTTTAAGGCAACCAGTCTTAATGATCTGTCCAAGAAATCCTGGCAAATGTTGCTAACAGCAATCTGACTAATAGAATTCCTTGATTTGAACTGTAGGCATTTTTGATGTGCCTGTCTGCCCACTTTGGCAGATGGACTAATAAGCAGAGGAGCGGTCACTGAAGCAGAAGGCAGGAAGAGAACAGAGGCACGAAAACTCTCAGCTGGCAGCAGCGCTGGCCAGTCAACATCTGACTACATTGGCAAAGGGACTGGACACTCTCCAAAGTGGATGACACTCTGACTTCATGTACCTTGCATTTAATTTCTGAAAGCACATAATTACCTATTTAAGAATGTAAATGAGTTATTACTAGGAAGGTATTTTAGGTCACTCGAGACTACTGGAAGATAAAATTATGATTGTTGGTTAAAATGAAAAGAAAATAGTGTATATACAAAAGTATGGGAGGAAGAAATATGGGTGAAAAATGATGATTTGTATAAAGAACTTTAAAATGACTGAAGACAGGTGCTTGAAACTGTCAATTTGTTTTAAATAAATTTAATAGTTGAAAAAAAGGAACTTTTAAATGAACAAAGAGAAGATATGGTATTATAAATAAAGTAACTCTCCTAGCTCCATAAATAATTAAGAATGAGAATGAAGGGCAATATGCTATATTAGGATTTATTTGCTCTTTTTCTTTAACTTCTTTTTTTTAAAGAAATGTGATCACTAAAAAAAGTATGCAATTATTTTACATTCTTCTTGCATGAGAAGTTTAGACATCTTCCAGGAGTGGGAAGAACTTAAAAAAGGAAAAAAGTCCATGGATCTGCAGATTCCATGTGAATGCAACAAATATAATAGCTTATTAACCAAAGTTGATTAAACTCTGCCTAACCACTCATTATCCATGAGCACTTTTCTGTATGTATATCATATGCCAATAGAAAGGTTTAAAAACCCTCATTAGTTGAAATACAAATGAAGCTGTCAAAATAAATCCCCCAAAACAAAATGTTTTGACAGGGATTTCAGAAGGAAGGACAAAGAACACCAGAATAATGCTAATGAATATGCACATTCCATGAGCCCTGAAGAATACATTAGTGCCGGTGATAGGTCATTGGTACTAGAAAACTGAAAAATAAATCCTTCTTGTGTACCTCAAGGTGACATTAACAAGAAATACCTGACTGAAAAAGCAAAACCCCGCCCCCACCTACTCCCTTCAAAAGACGGAAGCTCAGCTGCAGACTCTCAAGTGGTAATGATAGCTCCCTCCGCCCATTTCTTGCAATCCCTGGGCCTGCTTGGGCATCAACCACCCTAGGATCCCAAAAGAGCACTTGTCTCTCAGAACCACTTAGACTCAGCACATTTGGCATTCCATTAGCTTTGGTGGGTCGGTGTGGAAAAAGCTCGTTTTCCTGGTCTATAAGGATGTAACTGCTTTGAGAATCAGTCAGTGTCCCTCATTCCCACTGCAGGGACTACCAGAGTTTAGTGTGCTCGTTTAAAAACAAGATATCAGAAAAATGTAACTAAGCTGCAGGCTACATCCATACTGCCCAACCTCCATGGGAACTCAGAGTGAGTGACTACCATTTCATTGGTCTCTGGGAATGCTTCCCACCAGTCACACCGTTCCTACAGCACATGTGAGCTTCATGTTGGCTATCCTTACGTGACCCGGAGTTCTGTCTTCAGCCATGACAAACATGTGAGAAAGGAAAGCTGACTAGTGTTTATTAATGCCAATGTTATGTTATTTTAGTAGTAGGTTGTCTACCAGTTGTTTCCTAGAAAAATACGTCATGACTTTCCCAAAGACCCAATATGTTTAGTTTATTATGTATATTATATTTATTTTATTATATTTATTGGATTATGTTATTAGTCTCTATAAACACTTACCTCTTTGACACTATGTGTCACTGCCCATATTAGAAATACTCTTGACATCACCTGGAAAGAAGTAAGGACAACAGAAGATGGAACAATACCTGAAAGAAATTTTAGGATGGATAAATAAATAAATAAATAATGTGAATACATACATACATATATATATAAATATAATAATACACTGTCTGTTTCAACATATAGTACATTTCCTAAAACATTCAAATTTAACTGTTTATAGAGCTAAAACTATCTTGAGCAATTAAAACTTACCTATATTGCAATACACTCTAAGTTTTTCAATGTAATTAGTAATAAAACCTTTTTTCCTCCCTCAAAACAATAATATTGTTAATGGCACTATTCACCCACGGGATTTAGATACCTTTCTCAGCTCTTCCAAAACCACTGACCCAGCACAGTATTTTTCACACTTATCACATAGATAGAGAAAACAAAATCCTTACCTAACCTTTACAATTAGACACTGAAAGTTCGTTTTACAATAAAGATTTCAAAATGAATAGGCAGCGGATGGGAAAGCAATCCTATCTGTGTTTAATGAGCATTGAAGCTCCTAGATATCGGATTTGATTACTAACTAATGGTTAAGTTTGGTACTTTTTACTATCTACACGAATATTTTGTCAATAGCATAGCAAAATGCAAGATTATTATCTTTAAAACTAGTACTTATTCTCTCAGTGTCCTCAAATTATAACACTGGAACCTTCTTTAATTTTAGAATCACCAAATTCTACTAAGTTTACACCTCTGGTCTAGCTCTTCAGTTCCTATGATAATAACCCTGTCCGGGGTGAGCTACCACCATGATACAGAATTCTTGCCTCCTTTAGCTCACCTTAAATTAGCCGGTAGCCATTACCTGTAAACATCATTTTCTCTTCGTAATTTTATAATGGCAAGAAGCTGCTACTAAAATAAAACTTGGAAGCAGAATTATGGGTATTCACCCAGCAGTGCCCCTGCGTTTCTCTGTCCTTACTGCTGCCAGCACCTGGACTCACCAACTTCCTGGATCTCACAAGTTGTACATGGACCACTCCATACCTGCCAGGAATCTCGCAGCACAGTTTTAAATCCTTCTTCCACTTTAAAATTAATGCCATCTTAAACACAGTCACTGGAATATCCCAGGCCCTCTAAAATGCACTCACACTGCTCAATGTTTATTTAGTCGGACAAACAGCAACTTGCCAAAATACCATGTACGAATCATCTAGATCCATTTTTGCCTCAACAGGTTTGACTAAGAGAGGAAACTGCTATATCTCATTAAGAAAAAGAGATGCTATATCCTGTTAGAACGTGTTTTTAAAGAAAAGTTAGATTCGGAAGAGGGACGATTTGGTCCCCAAAAGCAAGCAACGTGGACAAATTGAGCATTGTTGCTTGGTGTACAGAGATGCCCAGTACATTTCATTCACTGTAGAATGAATGAGTGAAAGGAAAAAATACAAATGCATAAGCATATATAGTAGATCAATGGAATAAAGAGTCCAGGAATAACCCTCACATTATGATTGTGAACAAGGGTGCCAAGACAACTAAGTGGAAAAAAACAATTTTTTAAAAAATTAGTTTTTTGCCATAGGGTGCATGTGCTCACCAGGAGCTACTAGGCCCAGGACTTGAACCATGGTTGAACAGATGATGCTAGGATCACTGGATAACCACATGCAGAAGAGTGGAATTGGGCCACTTCCTCACACCACACCCAAACAGAAACTCAGAATGGATAAAGTATGAAAACGTTCAGAAGAAAACACAGTTCGAAGTCTTATGAGCTTGGATTAGGCAATAGCCTGTTAAATATGACACCAAAAACACAAGAAAAATAAACTAGACTTATCAAAATTAACAACTTTTGTGCTTCAAAAGACACCATCAAGGAACCAGCAGGTGGCGTGGTGGCCAAGGCACTAGACACTCCCACATGGCCGGCCATGGTTTGAGTTCTGGACCTGGTGGCTTGCTTTCTCACTTTCTCTCTCTCTCTCTCTCTCTCTGGTCAAAATGAAAATAAATAAATAAGTGAGTAAGTAAATAAAATTAAAAGAAAAATAAAGACACCATCAAGAAAATGAAAATAAGACTGGTTCTGTACCATAACAAATAAATGACATGCATGAAAAGTTGAACCCCACATGGTCAACCATGGCTCAAATCCCAGCCCCAGAGGACTGAAGAAACATGCCTGGCACGTATGTGTGTATGTCTAAAATTCTGATGGAATGGAGAAATGGAAGAAAAAGGATTATGTCGTGACCATGTCCCACTGGGGGATGCTTTCTCTCTCTCTCTCTCTCTCTTTCTCTCACACACATGTACCCTCTGGCAATGAAACACCTGCAATCATATGTGATAAGGGACTTACATCCAAAATATATAGGAACTCTTACAATTCAACAACAGAAAAAGAACTAAAAACACACTTAAAAAATTGGCAAAGAGAGGTCAACAGGTAGTGCAGTGGTTAAGGTGCATTATTTCACATGGCTGACTGTGCGGTTCGAGTCCCAGACCCAGCAGCTTCACCATCATGCCTGGTGCATATGTGTGTGCCCACAACCCTGAGAGACGAATGGAGGAGAAGCGATTGTGCCATAGCCATCCCCCTTGGGGAGTGGTCTCTTACTTTCCCTCTCTCTGTCTCTCTCTAGCAAGAGCAGGCATCTATGGACAAAATCTAAAAAAAAAAAAAAAAAAAAAAAAAGATTAAAATAAAAAGTGATGAGTAATAAACACAAAGAACGAAAGAACAAGCATATGCTAAAATAATGACGTGCCTTGAAAACACAGTGAATGAAAGAAAACAGTGACAGAAGACCACACATATCGTATGATTTTATATATATGAAATTTCCAGATTAGGCCAATGTACAGAGACTGGAGGTAGATTAGTGCTCACCTAAGGCTGGGAGGTTTGGGGATAAATTGGGAGTGACTGCCAATGGGTTCACAATGTCTTTTGGGGTGATAAAACTGTGGTAATGGCTGCATAACTCAATATATACTTTAAGTAGGTGAATTGTATGGCATGTGAATTATACCTGAATAAAGTTGTTATTTTAAAAAAATGAGTGAAGCACGAAGCCTGGTTATATAATTAGGTAACACAGCTAAAGAAGCTAATCAGTGAGTCAAACATGTCATGATTATACTTAGCCACATCACTTCAATTAAGAAAAACTTAAAGAAAAAAAAAAGACCGACGATGAAAAGGTATCTCAAATGCTTAAGTGCTGCTTAAGGAAAGGCCACCTTAGTTTTAGCTGCTGCTTTTCTCTTTCTCTCCATCTCTCTCTCCCTCCCTCTCTTCCTCCCTCTCTTTTTCTTTCTCTCTTCTTTCCTTCTTCTTCCTTTCTTTATTTTTCTAAACTCAAACATCGGTCCACCACATAAAAATACGATTTGTCCTTTTGCTCTTTCTCCCTCCACCACCAAAGCCATGCTTAGCCCGCTCCCGTTTACAGCAGTGTCCTGGGGTGAGGGGGGGGCGGTGCTGTGTCTCAGGGGTGATTGAGGAGCCCGTGACCAGATGTCTTGAAGCTCAAGTTTGAAAATCTGATTTGATCCCATCCACCAGCAAGAATCAGGCACTGGGACCCTGACTGATACCAATCAAAACCATGAGAGACTAAACATAAACCAAAATGTCAATTTATTCATTAATAACAGAGGCACAGCCTTTCAAATAAGTGAATGACAGGTATCTTGGAGACCCTCATCTAGGGATGGGTACTTGTTTCTGGTGTCAAACTCAGAATTCTTAGTAAGTATGACCAAGCAGAGGGATCTGCAAGGAGTGGGAGAAAAATACTGTAACTCAGCTGAATACAGGTTAATTAATTATCCCTTCTCTAGTATGGAGCTCCTTTTCCCAGGGAATGTGAATATTTACTTGTGTCTTCCTTTCAAAAATTCTAAACAAAATGACCAGATTATTTTTCTTACAAGTTTGCTTTAGTAACCAAAAACAATGATTTTACATTTTCGCTATATTTCCCATGAGTCTTTTCTCCCAGGCATTATTTTTAAACATAGTTCAAATTTGATTGTTTAAACTCTCTGTATTTTGCTTTTTTCATTTAACATTTTAGGAATTTTCTGTTATTTTCATCGAAACATTTTAGCTCGAGACATGATATTCCTCTGAGTGAATCCACTATGTTTATTTATTCTCCTTCTGAGGGACATTTATATTATCTCCAATTTCTGGATATTATAAATGAAGTAACAAAATGTTACAAATAATGTTGAAATGTTTTTGAGACTTAGACCTTTAAAAAAAAATAAAAGAGTATTTCCTTGGATGTTTTCCCAGAAACAGAAATACTGGGTTAAATGGCATAAGTGTCCTAAGGTTGGTTCTTTGGGCTATATTGCCAAACTGCTTTCCAAAAAGTTTATCAATAATACTCCCGTCAGCAACATGTCCCTGCTCTGGGACACCCACGCCATCAATTTAATCTTAACAATTAGTGAGTACAAAGCTGCACGGTGTTTTCTAATTTGGTGCAGATGATGAGATGTTTCTGGCTTTGACTATCGGTTCTCCTTAAGCACTTAATTTGCCCCAAATGATGTCGTTCACACCTTCGTTTCTGTAGTGTATGTGCCTGCTTCAACCGGCCACCCAGCAAATAGTAGGCTTTGGTCTGACAGCACAATCTTGAAATGCCTGCTCTACTGGGCCAGTCAAAAGGTTATAGGACAAGGCCCTTATACAGGGGACTTTAAAAAGTTTATGGGAAAATGAGGGACCAGCAGTTAGCATAATGGCTATGTCGCCGGACTCCCACATAGTCCACCGTGGTTCGAGTCCCGGACCCGGTGGCTTAAACTCACGCCGGGTGCGTGTGTGCCGAAGATCCCAAGAGGAGAATGGAGAAGGGAATGCAGCGTGGCCATCCCCCTGGGGGGGGGTTTCTCACTTTCTATCTCTCAGTCTCTCTCTGTCTTTCTGGCAAGAGCACGCACCCTGTAGGAAAAACCTCTCCAAAAAAAAAAAAAGTTTATGGAAAAATGAAATTAAAGTATGAGTTCATTTTGGTGCAAAAATATTTGAAATCCATGC